TATTGGTCCTTACTGTATGCCATGTGTACTCGTGCTATAAAGTATTAACTAAAAAACCTAATCTAATTTTATGTAAACATATCTACATGAATGATCACTGTCATACAATTATAGTTTCTTCACATATATCTACACATAGCTCAAGAGACACACCTGTTACAAAGCACTGTGAAGTTACAAACTGATCAACGTACCACTTAACACTAATAAAAAGTTCTTGTCAAACATGTCAGTACAGTCAACCAATTTCTTTTCTTCACAGATATGGAATTTTAATAAAGAAAAGATGACATAGAGGGCTTGTGCTCTGCGTTTTGCTACCCCAGCAGCAACAGCAGACTAGTTTCATCGATTTTGTATCGTTGCTGCTTGAAAGAGCAATGTAAGTAAATAAAAAAAGGCCTCATATAGTGGTGGAATTTAAGCAGTTCGTTTAGTTTTTGATGTATAATCCTTTACTCACCAACAATAACCTAAAATACTTTAGATGCTTTAGTAACATGCAACATACTGCCACAATTAATGCTTTAGTAACATGCAACATACTGCCACAATTAAAGCTTTAGTAACATGCAACATACTGCCACAATTAAATCATGACCGTTACAACATACTGCCACAATTAATGCTTTAGTAACATGCAACATACTGCCACAATTAAAGCTTTGGTAACATGCAACATACTACCACAATTAATGCTTTGGTAACATGCAACATACTACCACAATTAATGCTTTAGTAACATGCAACATATTGCCACAATTAATGCTTTAGTAACATGCAACATACTGTCACAATTAATGCTTTAGTAACATGCAACATACTGCCACAATTAATGCTTTAGTTTTTATTATAAACATTCCAAAACTAGCTGATTGTGATCTTGGGTAGTTAATACTTGATGATTCGAACTATCTGGGATGTCGTCATTGGTGTACGACTAGTCAGACTTGAGGGTTGAAGTAATAAATCAGATATACGATTATGCTAATACTGTACTGACATTTTGTTTGGGTTAAATGTTCAGGCTACTAACAACTTAAATACTTTAGGTGGCTGGATAACTTGTGTGGCATTCCACCATATTTAAATATCCATTATTATTTAATGGATTGACTGATTATTTGGGTGTTTGTTAATTACTTTGTGATTAATCATGTTTTGGTGAAGAAAAGAAATTAAGAAATAAATAACCAGTTAGTGCACTGAATAATAATGGATAATTAATTGTGGCAGTATGTTGTAACGGTCATGTTACTATGTTGCATGTTACTAAAGCATTAATTGTGGCAGTATGTTGTAACGGTCATGTTACTATGTTGCATGTTACTAAAGCATTAATTGTGGCATATTAATAACAATTCTTAAAGAAATATTTATCAGAACCTTTACAAGTTAAACATAGTATACTCACAATTCAAAAATGCAGAGCCAGGACTTTTACAAATAATACAACTGAACTTCAAACTCAAAAATATAACCTGGACATAAGAGGTTATGAAGAACTTAAAAGAAAAAACCTAATATTGTATGTTATCACAAAGTAACAAAACACTTTCAAACTGTCTGATTAATTAAATTATAACAATTGTAGGTCTCAACTTAGGTTCAAGTAATATCCTATCTAGAACTCTGTGTTCCCGACATATCAGTCTTCAGTTCTCTTTTCACCATACAAACAATTACAATTTGACAAAGGACAATAACTGGCTATTGACAAGTCATCTGATCAAATCTCTTACATATAGTGACAGACTGATTTACATAGGACCACAGTTACCACGACAAAAATCTCAGTGCCACCTAGTGTTAGTTATTTTGTCTCACTTCTAGTATAATGTTACAAGTCTAATGTGGTGTAAGCAAGTGATACTATGCATAAATTAACTCAAAAGTCATCATACAAGAGGGATCAGCTGTCTCCCACTTTTTTCTCTGTAGGATACACTACAAAAATGACATCCACAGTAATCAAGTCAGGCGTTTTTGCCGAGATCAAGTTTTTACAAATATTAGAAAAATAATAACACAAAGAAATCCAGTGAGTTCATATTAGCATTAATTTTGTATGTATAAAAAAATGTCAAAAACAAATAATGAAGCAAATCTCTCCAGGCTACACTACTTTTAGTTTAAAAAAAATCAACAATTCTTTTCACATAGTTATAGAATGATTTTGAGATTTACAAGAAGATTCTTCTTTGTGTATAAATGCAGGCAGTTATTTTATCAAATCTACCTCAGTAACTTGTAATAAGAAACATCAATAAACCTTAAGCATATCACAAATTAAAAGTGTAAACACAAAGTTCTCGTTATAGATGCATAAAAATAGCCTTCAACAGAACATACACATTTGAAGTTCCACGTGTGACCTAAGGACCACAATAAACATATTTATCTTTTGTCTAACCCTACTTTATCTGTTCTTTTATCTTGAAATTTCTACGCTTTTAGATGTACTGATGATTAAATTATATAATCTATGACGATTCTCTGTGTTTGGAAACAATTTTAATTGTACGTGAACCTATATAAAGCAACTTTAATTCAAAATTATGTAATTAAATATTCTATTACTACATAAAATTAAAACATGTACACAATGAGGTCCAGTTGCTCCATCAAAGTAACTCACTAACCATCCAGAAAAACTATTCCAAAACATTTTTTTTTTTAATTATCCAAGAAGGATTTAAAAGTACCCAAACGTACAGAACATGCTAGCTTATTGGAGAAAACCATGTACAGATAGAAATTTTAGTGGAATATGAATCACATTTTTCAAAGTCTGTAACTAGGGCCTCTAGCATTCAGGTTTTGTTTTTACTCAGAAATCAAACATAATGCCAACAAGATGTTTATTAAATTCTTTAAAAGTTAAAAACTGAAATATATTAAACTCAGATCAAGTTCCTTTAATTTTAAATCCTCTAATTCTTATGCTTTACTCCACAACCTGTCTTCCCAACTAAAAATTATAATACGAGTACTAGTACCCTTTTCTGTATCACTTCTTCATACCCCTCAATAAATGATTAAAAAAACGTACTTTAAGAAAAAATATTTTTTCACTAAATTAACTTCTTCTGAGGATCCAGAAATAAAGATACCTACTGATCTACTAACAGGATTACATTAAGCTTGAGATATAAACCGCTATATGAGACATGTTAATAATCCAGTAATTGTAACGGATATCATTATCGGCCATTACTGACAATAGGCCTATTACTAATCCTGTATAAACGGGTTTACGATACCCATAATATATAATTTATATGCAAATAATATACAACAAATACATCTGTTTTTAACGCCAAAACGTCTAACTCGTACTCGTAACAATAAGGTACTAACTATACTACCAACAGATATGCAAGCAACGAGACATCTGCTTTAAAACCGAACATCCTCACTCAATTCCACTAACTTCAGCTTATGCATCCAAAATTTTACCTTTCAAAAACCACGTGTCCACGAGCGTCGTCCAGGCCGCTCATTGATTTCCACGTGATATGAACTTTCAATTAATATACGCGCGAAAGGTTCAAAGTAGCATAAACTTAGGTCGCCGTATGCCATTCTTATTGTACAACAAAGCCCTTGTGTAGTTGTACACCAGAGATCGCCCCTTGACGGTTATAGGCTGTTTTCTCACTTACCAATTATCCAGATTAATTAGTTCTTCTGGTCCTTTTTTCGACGTTCTTTTGGCAGCCTTAAGTTTCAAAACCTCTTTGTAAAGAGACAGTGCATAATTCCACTGTCCCGGTGTGGCCCTCATAAAGAAAACTAAACTAGAATCGTTTATATCAGCCATAGTGCAACACGTACACTAGTCTGGTCACCCTGTAGACGTTGATCGCGTCTCCTTCTGTTACCCAATAGCAAAACAGTCTAGAACAATGAAGCAAAGGTAATTCTAGTGACAACCTATAGATGGCAGCATATAAAGAATGGACGTCATTACTTGTGTTAACCAGCAGAAATCGGATGTGAAAGTAAGAGATAGAATGTTTACCGGAGCCTTAGAGAATATTTCATTAAGTTAAAAAGAAGAACTCTAAGTTTTGGAAAAAACTTACGTGAACAGATTTACACGTATTCCTTCAAAAATAATAGCGAAAAAAGCATAAGTTACAAAGCACTTTACATTGCCAAAAATCATGAAAATCCCATAAACTGTCATATAAATTGATTATCTGCTAATGCCCTGAGATAATATACTTCAATGATTACATTATTAGAATAATTTCAAATTAGCTTCAGTTTTCAATTTCATAATTGTTTTACTTATTATTTAGCTTACAGATGCTTCACAGTATTGGCCATAAAAGCCATCACAAAGAGTTATAAAAAAAATACACCTAAGGTAAAGAGCAAATTCGCCATCTAAGACAAGGCATTGAGACAAACAAACGTATTGTGAAAAATAATACCCATGACCAATCTTTATGTTTCGTTATTGATCATTTATTTATTTGTGAAATGGCATAATTCAATAAAGTTAACTTACATATAAGTATAAGCCATACACACACACATGTACACATATATATTGTTGTAAGCTACATTTTTAATATTATAATTTAGAAGTTTGTTTGATAGATTATACACAAATACAAGAATCAGTGAATTATTCTGTTATTAAGTTATTCAGTACATTGTCAGTTAGTGAGTTAGACAGTAATTCAGTAAATAAGCTAAACAGTTAGTCATGTCAGACAGCATGGTTGTTGTCCATCAATTGATTAGCAAGGAAATTTTGCAGATAAGTTTATTGGTGATTTAGCGTACTTTACTTTTGAAATTTCTATTGAAAGTTACTTGTGAAGTTAGGCCTAACAGTGATCCTAGTCTATAGTAAATGTTATTGAAGAAATGAATATATTCGTTATTGTTACGTGGACTGGACTTCGCAATATTTTTCCAGATAATTTAAAAGAACCCCCTCATATCAGAACACGTTGCAACACTGATGTCAGAAAAGGAATTATTTGATGAAAATAAAATATAATTTTGACTGAACTCAAAATGACAACAGTAGCACGGAGCGAGATCGAAAATTTGCTCTAGATGGCGAAACAGTAGAAAGAAGAACAAACAGAAAGATTCAAAGCTTTAAAAGAAGGTAAAGAAGAAAGAGACAGAAAATTAAAAGAAGAACAAGAAGAAAGGTATAGAAAATTAGAACTAGACAGAAAAGTAAAGGTAGACTAAGAAAAATTTATAGACAGTAATTCAGATCAAGGGGTAAGAGACAGATTTTAAGAGAAGAGTTAAAGGAAGAGATGGAATATTTAAAGAAGAATTAAGAGCTAAGATAAATCTGATTGAAGGAAAGATTCTTGAAGCTATTGCAGATGTACAGAGAGATTAAAACAACAATATTGGAGAAGAACATAAAAGCTGTAATGGCAAAAACTAAGAAGATAAATCAATAAAGTTGATAATAACATCAATGACCAAATAAAATCAGCCATACTTCTTTCTGCATCCACCCAATAATTTCAACCTGAACATTATTTATTATAAAATATGAAATAGGAAAAATTATTTAGTCTACACCTGTTACCCACGTTATTATATGTACAACATGGAGAAGGACATATGACTGCTTAATTTAGCAAGACAATGAATGTTGCATAAAGCAGATAGTGTACAACTCAAAAGTTTCATTCCAGCCCTAAGTTATCTTAATTATTAACTATATGGGCAGAAATTTACACTATGGGCAGATCATGCTGCATTGAAATGGCTTGTGATTTTTGCAATCCAGAAGGGTAAATATTAAGATGGTTGTCGGAACTTTAGGAATTCAAATTTAACATCACACATTGTCCTGAACAAAAGCATGCAAATTCTGATATATTATCCTGAAGACTATGTGTTAATGAAAACTCTGTGAAAAGAGGGAAGCATGAGATGGTAAACATAGCCAACATTATAAAGTACAACAGAGTATAGTGCAAGATGGGACATCAACAAATGGCGATGAAGAACTTATATGGTCCAATATCCAACTGAAAGATACTCAAGAGAAAGATATGAGTTTGAAACTAGATATTCAGTGGATCAAGAATAGTGCAGAAAAATCCTCACGGCAAACAGCTGCTTCACACAGCCCCAAAACAAAAATGTACTGGGCACATTGGAATTCATTGTACCAACAAGAGGGCTTATTATGTTGGAAATGGGAAAATACCAATGGACAGAAACAAGGACTATAGTTGTTACTTCTACAGTCTCTACATTCCAAAGCATTCTGTCATCTCCTCAACATTCCAGCAGCTGGACACTTAGGTGTTAAGAAGACAGTGGAGAAAGTAAAAGAACACTTCTATTGGGTTAGTTGCTGGGGGTCTATAGAGAATTGATATTAATTGTGTGAATTATGATGTGATAAAAAAATTGCATGCAAGAAACAGCATGGGCAGCTACAGTAATACTGTGTTGGAGCACCACAATCATAATGTACAAGTTCTATAATTACATTTGCTTATAGGCCTAACCCACAATTAAAACTTAACAAACACTTACTTGCAAAATTTCCTCTCAAATTTATGACAAAACTCAAAACTGACTGACTCGCTGAATGAATGAATTCCCTCTAACTTACTGTGTAACTAACTTACTATATTATTTTTATACAATAACTGTTTTCCCGATACTTCTTGAAGCCTTGAGACATCATGCTAAAATATTAAAAGCAATGTATTCTAATTTTTATAAGTGTTGACGTAATAAGAGTATAGTAATTAGCTATAATGAATGCCAAGTTGATTTTTAGTTTTAATCTAAGTACAAAGCTTGCTCTAATTGGAAGTTATCATCAATTATTAAAACGTAGTATTTGTATTTCCTCCTTTAAATACTGTTAAGGTGTGTAGCTTATTCTTATTCAGTTTAGATAAAGTGAAGGTTAGCATATGTCTTAACGTGAAGTCCAAATGAACAGTTTAAAGCAAATAAAGGTATTTCTCTATAAAGCAACAGAGTAATGACCAGACATGAGCTTTTTATGTGGTAGTGTGTTGGTATTCACAATAAACTTCTTTGCCACCACAACTGCAGATTTAGGTCAAATTTTGCAAAAGCTTGCTAATCGTTTTCTTATCAATAACGTCTGGTCAAAACAAACTGTATTATGAAGGCATAATATACTAAAAAATCAAAAGATACAAATTCTGTCACGGAACATTCTGTGACATTTTAGTTTGCAAACATAATAGGTATTTTTTGCTCCTTTTATTTAACTGTTAAGCTTACCTAAAACTTTTCAACATTTTCACGCATACAAGTGTATATAGGTTTCGACTAGAACATTGGTCAAAGAAGCAGCTAAGTTCCTTCCACCCAGGTTACCTATTGTTCTGGGTCATTACCCTACGTTAACTCACTTGCGAGAAAGATTGCTGTAAAGTTAAACATGCTATGTGAAAGTAGACAGCAGTTTTTTCATTGGTGTCTCAGGTGATACCTTGAAGTTTCATCCTCCGTTATTTTTCAATTGGAATGATTAATTCCTGAGAAAAACAGCATTATAGAAATGTATATATATAATTAATATTAAATTCCAGTTAGAGTAAGCTACTTACTTAGAGATAAACTAAAAATCAACCTGGTAATTTGTATAGCTAATCAAATATACTTTTCTTCCTTCCTTCCTTATAAAGATTAAAGTGCATTGTCTTATCACATGTTTTACCCTTGCTGTTAACGATATTTTCGGCCGTAATCCCCAATAACATCTCATGAGGTTAGGGTTAGTCCTAAGTACACATATATTAGACTAAATATGCAAAATAATCTTTATAGTTCAATATTTTCTCAGTCTGGAATAGACTTAAGGAGATTTTCACCAACTTATAACTGATATTTTGGAGAGCTCTCAATCTTCAGTAAAGGTGCCATCCTCTGTTGTACACTGTCATATTGATTTCGTTTTGTGTATTGAATAAAGATTGTTTTCACACTGTTTCAAATTGTGTCCAATCTCTTTGTTACTCACAACTCTGTAAAAATATAGAGAATTCATATTTAGACCAGCAAACCATAAACAAGTTTCTGTCGAGCCTCCTGTTATCTTTGGGCCCGGCATGACCAAGTAGTTAGGGCGCTCGACTCGCGGGTTCGAATCCCCGTCACACCAAACATCCTCGCTCTTGCAGCCGTGGGGGCGTTATAATGTGACGGTCAATCACTCTATTCGTTGGTAAAAGAGTAGCCCAAGAGTTGGTGGTAGGTGGTGATGACTAGCTGCCTTCCCTCTAGCCTTATACTGCTAAATTAGGGACGGATAGCGCAGATAGCTCTCGTGTAGCTTTGCGCGAAATTCAAAACAAACAAACTGTTATATTGCGGACCCTATTCAACTACTAGAAGGGAAGTCAGTAAACCTGAGAACAATACAAAGCTACCTATATAGATCTCATAACTAGAAATTAACTAAGAAAATGATATATGTAAATTAGCATATTCGTGTAATTAGGAGTATGCGTTACAAAGAGAAAACTTTTATTGGTTAGAATGCAATGATTCATCAATTGAATTTCTTTGTTGTTATCCAATTATCTCTCACGAAGTTTGGTCAGCTTAGGAAACTTAGGTTAGTCCTTAATCTATATACTAATCTAAAAATGCAAATAGTGGATATGTGGGTCCATAGTTTGCGTCTTGTTATCTTAACAAATAAAAAAGCGTGTGCTACACTTTCGAGATGTGGGAATGTTATAAGGATGATGGTAAAATCCCACTATTCGGTTAGACAAGAGTAGTCTAAGAGTTGACATTAGGTAATGTTGACCACCTAGCTGCCGAGTTGACATTAGGTGCTGTTGATCAGTTAGCTGCCTTTCCTCTAGTTTATCAATTGAAATTTGGGAAGGGCGAGAGCAAGCATTTTTTGTGTAGCTTTGCGCGAATATCCAAAAACAAAGAAACAAGTCTTCAATATATATATATATATTTATAATAAATAAAGTTAAAGAAAGATTATCGTGTGCCGACACTTTTACAAAATGAAAATAAAATTCTAACTTCTAGGTAAATGACACAAAAGAACACTCGTTAAAAGAAGGCTTTGAACTTTCCATGTAACTAGAAAGTTCATCTTAGATTACTATTCACGAACGTTTTTTTATTTTGAATTTCTTTGATGCAAGAAAAACATGATATGTTCTACATTTTAATTTTTATTTGTACCCCAACAACCGTTGAAAGCAACTATCATATGTGACTTTTTCCACATCCTTTTTATTATAATTTAAATATTTCATACATACTTTCTGGCAATCATCAACAGAATATCATAATAATTACACACCAACATTACACTCACCTCTCCAAAAATATAAAGATTAGATTATATGTTATAAATACATATTTTTAAAAACATTTGTAAAGCGTTAGTTAGTTCACGCAACCCTAAAGTACCGCATCTATTAACATTAAATGGCTTGTTTATCGATCTTACACAAACATCTTTCAAATAAAGACCGTTTGCAAAATAAAAATATATTTCTATTTTGAAATGCTACTAAGGCTCCCATCGCTAATTTTAAACTAATGACAAGAGGGTAGGCAGCCAATCAATAGCACCCTACCAACCACCATTTATAAAGCACTGTTGCGTCATCGAGATCACGTGACAATTCTCACGCTATCTTGTTTCTAGAACTATCATGTACTTT